ATATATATATATATATATATATATATATATATAAGATATATAAAGAGAGAGAGAAAGAGAAGGATAGAAATGCACACGAAAAAATCTACGAAAAATATTATTGAGGAGAGAGAGAGGAAAACAAGATAACAGAATTCAAAATGTCAGACGATCACGATTGAATTTGAATTTTGAAAATCGTAATTGACAGAAAACCAAGAAGCCGAAAGAGAGTCACACAATCGAGAAGTGCGAGAAAAGAAACTGTTAACATAGAATTTATGGTTACATCAAGTAATTTCAACACTAAAATGGTGAGACCTAACTGCCAATCTTGTACTGCGCTTAAATTCATGTATTCTACGTTACAGCGTTTATAAAATGACTGAAGCTACTGTCAAAATACCAGATCAGGACAGATAACATTACAGATTTTTCAAGATTTTTGTCAAGAGTCTGTAGATATATAATGGAAGCCGCAGACCCTTTGTGGCAACAAAACTCAGTCCATGTGTAAATGTCAGACATATAAGAGATATTTTTCCGAGAAAAAATTGTCTAGATATATACAATGAACCAACTTTTTAGCAGCATACATAGCAACTGATTTGATATAATCGTTGCATTTCCTGCGAGTGGAAAATCTAAACTAAAAGGGGACAATGAGTTACAATCCTAGAGAATAATTTTGTCTTGGAGGCGTTAAAATTAACAAAGCCATGTCTTGTCCCAGTTAACAACGGATCTGATTTCATTTTTGGCATAAGAGGCAATTTGACCTTATCATACCAAAGACTACGCCATCAGCATGGATACTAAGTCGAGAACTGATGACATCAGGTAGGACATTGATGAAAATTAGGAAAAACATAGCTTCATTTCACTGGGAGATATTCGTATTAATATAAAAAGATCTAGAAAGGTGGCCGTTCAAGACGTCTTTCATTTCGCAGTTTGATCAGAAATAAAATAAAAATAACCGACAAGAAACACTAAAATTCTTATTTTGTGAAGAAAACCAGCATTCGAAACCCTGTCAAAACACTTTCGAGATATCCAAAGCAACAGCGTGGAATTCAATATTCTTATCTAAAGTTCGACGTACTCTTTAATCAGTAACTGCTATGACATCGGCAGTTTACCTAGAGAAACGAAAGCCACACCCATTGTCTGAAAGAAGATCCCGCGAGCTGCGATGCTTAAAAGATTAGAATGCCTCGTACGTTGTCAAAATGTTGTAAAAACATCTAAAGACCAAATATGGCGCAACCCTGCAGCAACATTGGAAAGATCCCGAAAAACCATACGACAGTTTGACTCAATCTGTGTGTGGGATAGGGACAAGAAGAAATTGTTTTGAAGGCGTCGATTATTGAGCTATCCTAATCTCCAGATAGAAGCTCTTTAAGTCTGGCTGGCACTGTACCTAGAGATGGCGTCTCGGAAAAAAAAAATTATAACAGCTCGGACACTTGACTGGAAAACAAGAAGCCAGAAGAAAGTTCTAGAAACGAGAAGTGCGAGAGAAGAAAACGTTAGCATAGGATTTACGGTTACATATAGCCGTTTCAAATGTAAGATAATGAAACCTTGTCGCCAATTTAGTATTACGTTTAAATTCATGAAGTCAAGGTACCAAAGAGGAAAGCTCATCAGAAGAATTATCATGAAAGTAATTATAGAAACGGTACAGCTTTAGAATAAGTTGGAATTTTAATTAAGACTAGCAGTAGATCCCGGCGTTGCCCGGGGATGTAACAGTAAGAGATAGATCAAGTATCGACCATCATAAAGACTGAAAAATAAAATTGACAAAGATTATTGTTCAAGGTTGATGGACACGCATGTCTTAATTAGTTTTATTTTATATTTTTTTAATTTTTTTTTTACGAATTGGTCAAACCCAAACTCAAACAAAAACATTGTTTTCAATCGTTATGAGTCTACCGATTGAATAGAATTTTATTATAAACAATTGTCTTGTAAATGGAAAGCATTCTGAATGCAAAAATAAAGAAAAAGTGTGCAAGACAATAAGAAACACTACCTGCCAAAAGAAGTGAAGTTTTGTTGAAATCGGTTGAAAAATGTAGGAAATCTGATCCCATATATAAACGACACACACACACACACACACACACACACACACACACACACACACACACACACACACACACACACACACAACCTGGGTTTTACAATAAGTATAACTCGATATGAATTGTCCCCCTTTCATTCTCGCGATGCCTCTTAATCGTGTTTTCAAATTAATTTCGTGCAAAAACAATTGTGTTTTTCCAATTTTGGGCGCTGTCAGAACCACCGCAAGGTAATTTTACGTAGTCCTGTGTAGTTTTGTTGAAATCGGTTGAAAAATGTAGGAAATCCGATCCAATATACATACACATACACACACACACACACACACACACACACACACACACACACACACACACACACAACCTGGGTTTTATAATAAGTATGATTTCAATTGCTGGCAGATATGACGTTTCCTTGATGA